CAGCACCAAAGCAGAAGCAGAGCTTGACTAACAGCAGAATCAGAGGCTGGACTACAGCATAAGCAGAGGCAGCACCAACATCAGAAGTAGAGGCTGACTAACAGCTGAAGCAGAGCTGGACTAACAGCATAATTAGAGGCTGGACTAACGCAGAATTAGAGGCTGGACTAACAGCAGAAGCAGAAGCTGGACTAACAGCATAATTAGAGGCTGGACTAACAGCATAATTAGAGGCTGGACTAACAGCAGAAGCAGTGGCTGGACTAACAGCATAATTAGAGGCTGGACTAACAGCATAATTAGAGGCTGGACTACAGCTGAAGCAGAGGCTTGGACTAACAGCAGAGGCAGAGTCTGGACTAACAGCATAATTAGAGGCTGGACTAACAGCTGAAGCAGAGGCTGGGACTAACAGCAGAATAGAGGCTGGACTAACAGCAGAAGCTGGACTAACAGCAGAAGCAAGAGGCAGCACCTGTATCAGAAGCAGAGGCTGTACTAACAGCATAAGCAGAGGCAGCACCTATAGCAGAAGCAGAGGTCTGGACTAACAGCAGAAGTAGATGCTGGACTAACAGCATAATTAGAGGCTGGACTATCAGCAGAAGCAGAGGCTGGATAACAGCTGAAGCAGAGGCACCACCTGTAGCAGAATCAGAGGCAGCACCAAAGCAGAAGTAGAGGCTGACTAACACAGAAGCAGAGGCACCACCAACAGCAGAATTAGAGGCAGCACCTGTATCAGAAGCAGAGGCACCACCTGTAGCAGAAGCATAGGCAGCACCTGTAGCAGAATCAGAGGCTGGACTACAGCTGAAGCAGAGGCTTGGACTAACAGCATAAGCAGAGCAGCACCTGTAGCAGAATCAGAGGCTGACTAACAGCAGAATAGAGGCTGGACTAACAGCAAAGCAGAGGCAGCACTAACAGCAGAAGCTGGACTAACAGCATAATTAGAGGCTGGACTAACCGCAGAAGCAGAGGCAGCCCAACAGCAGAAGCATAGGCTGGACTAACAACAAAAGCAGAGGCAGCACCTGTATCAGAAGCAGAGGCTGTACTAACAGCATAAGCATAGGCTGGACTAACAGCATAATTAGAGGCTGGACTAACAGCATAATTAGAGGCTGGACTACAGCAGAGGCAGAGTCTGGACTAACAGCTGAGCAGAGGCTGGACTACAGCAGAGGCAGAGTCTGGACTAACAGCATAATTAGAGGCTGGACTAACAGCATAATTAGAGGCTGGACTAACAGCATAATTAGAGGCTGGACTAACAGCATAATTAGAGGCTGGACTAACAGCATAAGCAGAGACAGCACCACAGCAGAATAGAGGCTGGACTAACAGCTGAAGCAGATGCAGCACCACAGCAGAGCAGAGGCAGCACCACAGCAGAAGCAGAGACAGCACCACAGCAGAGCAGAGGCAGCACAACAGCATAAGCAGAGACAGCACCAACAGCAGACAGAGGCAGCACCAACACAGAAGCAGAGGCACACCAACAGCAGAAGCTGGACTAACAGCATAATTAGAGGCTGGACTAACAGCATAATTAGAGGCTGGACTAACAGCATAATTAGAGGCTGGACTAACAGCATAATTAGAGGCTGGACTAACATCAGAAGCATAGGCTGGACTAACAGCATAATTAGAGGCTGGACTAACATCAGAAGCATAGGCTGGACTAACAGCATAAGCATAGGCTGGACTAACAGCATAAGCATAGGCTGGACTAACAGCAGAAGTAGATGCTGGACTAACAGCATAATTAGAGGCTGGACTAACATCAGAAGCATAGGCTGGACTAACAGCATAATTAGAGGCTGGACTAACAGCATAATTAGAGGCTGGACTAACAGCATAATTAGAGGCTGGACTAACAGCATAATTAGAGGCTGGACTAACAGCATAATTAGAGGCTGGACTAACAGCATAATTAGAGGCTGGACTAACAGCATAATTAGAGGCTGGACTAACAGCAGAAGTAAGGCTGGACTAACAGCATAAGCATAGGCTGGACTAACAGCATAATTAGAGGCTGGACTAACAGCATAATTAGAGGCTGGACTAACAGCATAATTAGAGGCTGGACTAACAGCTGAGCAGAGGCTGGACTTAACAGCAGAAGCAGTGGCTGGACTAACAGCAGAAGTAGAGGCTGGACTAACAGCAGAAGCAGTGGCTGGACTAACAGCAGAGGCAGAGTCTGGACTAACAGCATAATTAGAGGCTGGACTAACAGCATAATTAGAGGCTGGACTAACAGCATAATTAGAGGCTGGACTAACAACAAAAGCAGAGGCAGCACTAACAGCAGAAGTAGAGGCAGCACCAACAGTAGAAACAGAGGCAGCACCACACAGAAGCAGAGGCACACCACAGCAGAAGCAGAGCAGCGCCAACAGCAGAAGCAGAGGCACACCACAGCAGAAGCAGAGGCACACCACAGCAGAAGCAGAGGCACACCACAGCAGAAGCATAGGCAGCACCAACAGCAGACGCAGAGGCAGCACCACACAGAAGCAGAGGCAGCACCACAGCATAAGCAGAGACAGCACCAACAGCAGACAGAGGCAGCACCACACAGAAGCAGAGGCACACCACAGCAGAAGCAGAGCAGCACAACAGCAGAATTAGAGCTGGACTAACAACAAAAGCAGAGGCAGCACACAACAGCAGAAGTAGAGGCTGGACTAACAGCAGAAGTAGATGCTGGACTAACAGCATAATTAGAGGCTGGACTAACAGCATAATTAGAGGCTGGACTAACAGCATAATTAGAGGCTGGACTAACAGCATAATTAGAGGCTGGACTAACAGCATAATTAGAGGCTGGACTAACGCAGAATTAGAGGCTGGACTAACATCAGAAGCATAGGCTGGACTAACAGCATAATTAGAGGCTGGACTAACAGCATAATTAGAGGCTGGACTAACAGCATAATTAGAGGCTGGACTAACAGCATAATTAGAGGCTGGACTAACGCAGAAGCAGAGGCTGTACTAACAGCATAAGCATAGGCTGGACTAACAGCATAATTAGAGGCTGGACTAACAGCATAATTAGAGGCTGGACTAACAGCATAATTAGAGGCTGGACTAACAGCATAATTAGAGGCTGGACTAACATCAGAAGCATAGGCTGGACTAACAGCATAATTAGAGGCTGGACTAACATCAGAAGCATAGGCTGGACTAACAGCATAATTAGAGGCTGGACTAACAGCATAATTAGAGGCTGGACTAAAGCAGAAGCAGAGCTTGACTAACAGCAGAATAGAGCTGGACTAACAGCATAATTAGAGGCTGGACTAACAGCATAATTAGAGGCTGGACTAACAGCATAATTAGAGGCTGGACTAACAGCAGAATAGAGGCTGGACTAACAGCATAATTAGAGGCTGGACTAACAGCATAATTAGAGGCTGGACTAACAGCATAATTAGAGGCTGGACTAACAGCATAATTAGAGGCTGGACTAACAGCATAATTAGAGGCTGGACTAACAGCAGAAGTAGATGCTGGACTAACAGCATAATTAGAGGCTGGACTAACAGCATAAGCATAGGCTGGACTAACAGCATAAGCATAGGCTGGACTAACAGCATAAGCATAGGCTGGACTAACAGCATAAGCATAGGCTGGACTAACAGCAGAATTAGAGCTGGACTAACAGCATAATTAGAGGCTGGACTAACAGCATAATTAGAGGCTGGACTAACAGCATAATTAGAGGCTGGACTAACAGCATAATTAGAGGCTGGACTAACATCAGAAGCATAGGCTGGACTAACAGCATAATTAGAGGCTGGACTAACAGCATAATTAGAGGCTGGACTAACAGCATAATTAGAGGCTGGACTAACAGCATAATTAGAGGCTGGACTAAAGCAGAAGCAGAGGCTGTACTAACAGCATAAGCATAGGCTGGACTAACAGCATAATTAGAGGCTGGACTAACAGCATAATTAGAGGCTGGACTAACAGCATAATTAGAGGCTGGACTAACAGCATAATTAGAGGCTGGACTAACAGCATAATTAGAGGCTGGACTAACAGCATAATTAGAGGCTGGACTAACAGCATAATTAGAGGCTGGACTAACAGCATAAGCATAGGCTGGACTAACAGCATAATTAGAGGCTGGACTAACAGCTGAGCAGAGGCTGGACTACAGCAGAGGCAGAGTCTGGACTAACAGCAGAGGCGAGGCTGGACTAACAGCATAATTAGAGGCTGGACTAACAGCATAATTAGAGGCTGGACTAACAGCATAATTAGAGGCTGGACTAACAGCATAAGCATAGGCTGGACTAACAGCATAATTAGAGGCTGGACTAACAGCTGAAGCAGATGCAGCACCAACAGCATAATTAGAGGCTGGACTAACAGCATAATTAGAGGCTGGACTAACAGCATAATTAGAGGCTGGACTAACAGCATAATTAGAGGCTGGACTAACAGCATAATTAGAGGCTGGACTAACACAGAACAGAGGCTGGACTAACACAGAAGCAGAGGCAGCACCAACAGCAGAAGCAGAGGCAGCACCAACAGCAGAAGCAGAGGCAGCACCAACAGCAGAAGTAGAGCTGGACTAACAGCATAATTAGAGGCTGGACTAACAGCATAATTAGAGGCTGGACTAACAGCATAATTAGAGGCTGGACTAACAGCATAATTAGAGGCTGGACTACAGCATAAGCAGAGGCAGCACCAACAACAGAAGCAGAGGCAGCACCTGTACAGAAGCAGAGGCACCACCAACAGCAGAAGCAGAGTCAGCACCACAGCAGAACAGAGACAGCACCAACAGCAAAGCAGAGGCAGCAACCAACAGTAGAGGCAGAGGCACCACCTGTAGCAGAAGCATAGCAGCACCAACAGCAAAGCAGAGGCAGCACACCACAGCAGAAGCAGAGGACAGCACCAACAGCAAACAGAGGCAGCACCAACAGCTGAAGCAGAGGCAGCACCAACAGCAGAAGCAGAGGCAGCACCAACAGTAGAAACAGAGGCAGCACCAACAGCTGAAGCAGAGGCTGCACCATCAGTAGAAGCAGAGGCACCACCTGTAGCAGAAGCAGAGACAGCACTAACAGCAGAAGCAGAGGCTGGACTAACAGCAGAAGCAGAGGCAGCACCAACAGCAGAAGTAGAGGCTGGACTAACAGCAGAGGCAGAGGCAGCACCAACAGCAGAAGTAGAGGCTGGACTAACAGCAGAATTAGAGGCTGGACTAACAGCAGAAGCAGAGGCAGCACCAACAGCAGAAGCAGAGGCTGGACTAACAGCAGAAGCAGGGGCTGGACTAACAGCAGAAGCAGAGGCAGCACCAACAGCAGAGGCAGAGGCTGGACTAACAGCAGAAGCAGAGGCTGGACTAACAGTAGAAGCAGGGGCTGGACTAACAGCAGAAGCAGAGGCAGCACCAACAGCAGAAGTAGAGGCTGGACTAACAGCAGAAGCAGAGGCAGCATCAACAGCAGAAGCAGAGGCAGCACCAACAGCAGAAGCAGAGGCTGGACTAACAGCAAAAGCAGAGGCTGGACTAACAACTGAAGCAGAGGCTGGACTAGCAGATGAAGCAGAGGCTGGACTAACAGCAGAAGCAGAGGCAGCACCAACAGCAGAATTAGAGGCAGCACCAACAGCAGAAGCAGAGGCAGCACCAGCAGAAGAAGCAGAGGCTAGACTAACAGCAGAAGCAGAGGCAGCACCAATAGCTGAAGCAGAGGCTGGACTAGCAGATGAAACAGAGGCTGGACTAACAGCAGAAGCAGAGGCTGGACTAACAGCAGAAGCAGAGGCTGGACTAACAGCAGAAGCAGAGGGTGGAATAACAGCAGAAGCAGAGGCTGGACTAACAGCAGAAGCAGAGGCTGGACTAACAGCAGAAGCAGAGGCAGCACTAACAGCAGAAACAGAGGCTGGACTAAGAGCAGAAGCAGAGGCAGCACTAACAGCAGAACCAAAGGCTGGACTAACAGCAGAAGCAGAGGCAGCAATAACAGCAGAAACAGAGGCATCACTAAGAGCAGAAGCAGAGGCTGAACTAAGAGCAGAAGCAGAGGCTGGACTAACAGCAGAAGCAGAAGCTGGACTAACAGCAGAAGAAGAGGCTGGACTAACAGCAGAAGCAGAGGCTGGACTATCAGCAGAAGCAGAGGCTGGACTAACAGCAGAAGCAGAGGTAGCACCAACAGCAGAAGCAGAGGCTGGACTAACAGCAGAAGCAGAGACTGGACTAACAGCAGAAGCAGAGGCTGGACTAACAGCAGAAGCAGAGGCTGGACTAACAGCAGAAGCAGAGACTGGACTAACAGCAGAAGCAGAGGCTGGACTAACAGCAGAAGCAGAGGCTGGACTAACAGCAGAAGCAGAGGCTAAACTTACAGCAGAGGCAGAGGCAGTATTAACAGCAGAACCAGAGACTGGACTAACAGCAGAGGCAGAGGCTGGACTAACAGCAGAAGCAGAAGCTGGACTAACAGCAGAAGAAGAGGCTGGACTAACAGCAGAAGCAGAAGCTGGACTAACAGCAGAAGCAGAGGCTGGACTAACAGCAGAGGCAGAGGCTGGACTAACAGCAGAAGCAGAAGCTGGACTAACAGCAGAAGAAGAGGCTAGACTAACAGCAGAGGCAGAGGCTGGACTAACAGCAGAGGCAGAGGCTGGACTAACAGCAGAAGCAGAGGCTGGACTAACAGCAGAAGAAGAGGCTGGACTAAAAGCAGAAGCAGAGGCTGGACTAACAGCAGAAGCAGAGGCTGGACTAGCAGTAGAGGCAGAGGCTGGACAAAAAGCAGAAGCAGAGGCTGGACTAACAGCAGAAGCAGAGGCTGGACTAACAGCAGAGGCAGAGGCTGGACTAACAGCAGAAGCAGAGGCTAGACTAACAGCAGAAGCAGAGGCTGGACTAACAGCAGAAGAAGAGGCTACACTAACAGCAGAAGTAGAGGCTGGACTAACAGCAGAAGCAGAGGTAGCACCAACAGCAGAAGCAGAGGCTGGACTAACAGCAGAAGCAGAGGCTGGACTAACAGCAGAAACAGAGGCAGCACCAACAGCAGAAGCAGAGGCTGGACTAACAGCAGAAGCAGAGGCTGGACTAACAGCAGAAGCAGAGGCTGGACTAACAGCAGAAGCAGAGGCAGCACCAACAGCAGAAGCAGAGGCTGGACTAACAGCTGAAGCAGAGGCTGGACTAACAGCAGAAGCAGAGGCTGGACTAACAGCAGAAGCAGAGGCAGCACCAACAGCAGAAGCAGAGGCTGGACTAACAGCTGAAGCAGAGGCTGGACTAACAGCTGAAGCAGAGGCTGGACATACAGCAGAAGCAGAGACTGGACTAACAGCAGAAGAAGAGGCTACACTAACAGCAGAAGTAGAGGCTGGACTAACAGCAGAAGCAGAGGCAGCACCAACAGCAGAAGCAGAGACTGGACTAACAGCAGAAGCAGAGGCTGGACTAACAGCAGAAGCAGAGGCTGGACTAACAGCAGAAGCAGTGGCTGGACTAACAGCAGAAGCAGAGGCTGGACTAACAGCAGAGGCAGAGGCTGGACTAACAGCAGAAGCAGAGGCTGGACTAACAGCAGAAGCAGAGGCTGGACTAACAGCAGAAGCAGTGGCTGGACTAACAGCAGAAGCAGAGGCTAGACTAACAGCAGAGGCAGAGGCTGGACTAACAGCAGAAGCAGAGGCTGGACTAACAGCAGAAGCAGAGGCTGGACTAACAGCAGAAGCAGAGGCAGCACCAACAGCAGAAGCAGAGGCTGGACTAACAGCAGAAGCAGAGGCTGGACTAACAGCAGAAGCAGAGGCAGCACCAACAGCAGAAGCAGAGGCTGGACTAACAGCAGAAGCAGAGGCTGGACTAACAGCTGAAGCAGAGGCTGGACTAACAGCAGAAGCAGAGGCTGGACTAACAGCAGAAGCAGAGGCAGCACCAACAGCAGAAGCAGAGGCTGGACTAACAGCTGAAGCAGAGGCTGGACTAACAGCTGAAGCAGAGGCTGGACATACAGCAGAAGCAGAGACTGGACTAACAGCAGAAGAAGAGGCTACACTAACAGCAGAAGTAGAGGCTGGACTAACAGCAGAAGCAGAGGCAGCACCAACAGCAGAGCAGAGAGGCTGGACTAACAGCAGAAGCAGAGGCTGGACTAACAGCAGAAGCAGAGGCTGGACTAACAGCAGAAGCCAGAGGCTGGACTAACAGCATGAAGCCACGAGGCTAACTAACAGCAGAGAAGAGGCTGGACTAACAGCGAGAGCAGAGGCAGCACTAACAGCAGAAGCAGAGGCTGGACTAACAGCAGAAGCAGAGGCTGGACTAACAGCAGAAGCAGAGGCTGGACTAACAGCAGAAGCAGAGGCTGACTAACAGCAGAAGCAGAGGCTGGACTAACAGCAGAGCAGAGGCTGGGACTAACAGCAGAAGCAGAGGCTGGACCTAACAGCAGAAGCAGAGGCTGGACTAACAGCAGAAAGCAGAGGCAGCACTAACAGCAGAGGCAGAGGCTGGACTAACAGCAGAAGCAGAGGCTGGACTAACAGCAGAAGCAGAGGCAGCACTAACAGCAGAAGCAGAGGCTGAACTAACAGCAGAAGCAGAGGCTGGACTAACAGCTGAAGCAGAGGCAGCACTAACAGCTGAAGCAGAGGCTGAACTAACAGCAGAAGCAGAGGCTGGACTAACAGCAGAAGCAGAGGCTGGACTAACAGCAGAAGCAGAGGCTGAACTAACAGCAGAAGCAGAGGCTGGACTAACAGCAGAAGCAGAGGCTGGACTAACAGCAGAAGCAGAGGCTGGACTAACAGCAGAAGCAGAGGCTGGACTAACAGCAGAAGCAGAGGCAGCACTAAGAGCAGAGGCAGAGGCTGGACTAACAGCAGAAGCAGAGGCTGGACTAACAGCAGAAGCAGAGGCTGGACTAACAGCAGAAGCAGAGGCTGGACTAACAGTAGAGGCAGAGGCTGGACAAACAGCAGAAGCAGAGGCTGGACTAACAGCAGAAGCAGAAGCTGGACTAACAGCAGAAGCAGAGGCAGCACCAACAGCAGAAGCAGAGGCTAGACTAACAGCAGAGGCAGAGGCTGGACTAACAGCAGAAGCAGAGGCAGCACCAACAGCAGAAGCAGAGGCAGCGCCAACAGCAGAAGCAGAGGCTGGACTAACAGCAGAAGCAGAGGCTGGACTAACAGCAGAAGCAGAGGCAGCACCAACAGCAGAAGCAGAGGCTGGACTAACAGCAGAAGCAGAGGCAGCACCAACAGCAGAAGCAGAGGCTAGACTAACAGCAGAAGCAGAGGCAGCACCAACAGCAGAAGCAGAGGCAGCACCAACAGCAGAAGCAGAGGCTGGACTAACAGCAGAAGCAGAGGCTGGACTAACAGCAGAAGCAGAGGCAGCTCCAACAGCAGAAGCAGAGGCTGGACTAACAGCAGAAGCAGAGGCTGGACTAGCAAAAGAAGCAGAGGCAGCATCAACAGCAGAAGCAGAGGCAGCACTTGTAGCAGAAGCAGAGGCAGCACCAACAGCAGAAGCAGATGCAGCACCAACAACGGAAGCAGAGGCAGCACCAACAGCAGAAGCAGAGGCAGCACCAACAGCAGAAGCAGAGGCAGCACCAACAGCAGAAGCAGAGGCAGCACCAACAGCAGAAGCAGAGGCAGCACCAACAGCAGAAGCAGAGGCTGGACTAACAGCAGAAGCAGAGGCTGGACTAACAGCAGAAGCAGAGGCAGCACCAACAGCAGAAGCAGAGGCAGCACCAACAGCAGAGGCAGAGGCTGGACTAACAGCAGAAGCAGAGGCAGCACCAAAAGCAGTAGAGGCTGGACTAACAGCAGAAGCAGAGGCAGCGCCAACAGCAGAGGCAGAGGCTGGACTAACAGCAGAAGCAGAGGCAGCACCAACAGCAGAGGCAGAGGCTGGACTAACAGCAGAAGCAGAGGCAGCACCAACAGCAGAGGCAGAGGCTGGACTAACAGCAGAAGCAGAGGCAGCACCAACAGCAGAAGCAGAGGCAGCACCAACAGCAGAAGCAGAGGCAGCACCAACAGCAGAAGCAGAGGCAGCACCAACAGCAGAAGCAGAGGCAGCACCAACAGCAGAAGCAGAGGCAGCGCCAACAGCAGAAGCAGAGGCAGCACCAACAGCAGAAGCAGAGGCAGCACCAACAGTAGAAGCAGAGGCTGGACTAACAGCAGAAGCAGAGGCTGGACTAACAGCAGAAGCAGAGGCTGGACTAACAGCTGAAGCAGAGGCTGGGCTGACAGTAGAAGCAGAGGCTGGACTAACAGCAGAAGCAGAGGCTGGACTAACAGCAGAAGCAGAGGCAGCACCAACAGCAGAAGCAGAGGCTGGACTAACAGCAGAAGCAGAGGCAGCACCAACAGCAGAAGTAGAGGCTGGACTAACAGCAGAATCAGAGGCTGGACTAACAGCAGAAGCAGACTCAGCACTAACAGCAGAAGCAGAGGCTGGACTAACAGCAGAATCAGAGGCAGCACCAACAGCAGAAGCAGGGACTGGACTAACAGCAGAAGCAGAGGCTGGACTAACAGCAGAAACAGAGGCTGGACTAACAGCAGAAGCAGAGGCTGGACTAACAGCAGAAGCAGAGGCTGGACTGACAGCAGAAGCAGAGATTGGACTAACAGCTGAAGCAGAGGCTGAACTAACAGCAGAAGCAGAGGCTGGACTAACAGCAGAAGCAGAGGCAGCTCCAACAGCAGAAGCAGAGGCAGCACCAACAGCAGAAGTAGAGGCTGGACTAACAGCAGAAGCAGAGGCAGCACCAACAGCAGAGGCAGAGGCTGGACTAACAGCAGAAGCAGAGGCAGCACCAACAGCAGAGGCAGAGGCTGGACTAACAGCAGAAGCAGAGGTAGCACCAACAGCAGAGGCAGAGGCTGGACTAACAGCAGAAGCAGAGGTAGCACCAACAGCAGAGGCAGAGGCTGGACTAACAGCTGAAGCAGAGGCAGCACCAACAGTAGAGGCAGAGGCTGGACTAACAGCAGAAGCAGAGGCAGCACCAACAGCAGAGGCAGAGGCTGGACTAACAGCAGAAGCAGAGGTAGCACCAACAGCAGAGGCAGAGGCTGGACTAACAGCTGAAGCAGAGGCAGCACCAACAGCAGAGGCAGAGGCTGGACTAACAGCAGAAGCAGAGGCAGCACCAACAGCAGAGGCAGAGGCTGGACTAACAGCAGAAGCAGAGGTAGCACCAACAGCAGAGGCAGAGGCTGGACTAACAGCTGAAGCAGAGGCAGCACCAACAGCAGAAGCAGAGGCTGGACTAACAGCAGAAACAGAGGCTGGACTAACAGCAGAAGCAGAGGCAGCACCAACAGCAGAAGCAGAGGCTGGACTAACAGCAGAAGTAGAGGCAGCACCTGTAGCAGAAACAGAGGCAGCACCAACAGCAGAATCAGAGGCAGCACCAACAGCAGAGGCAGAGGCTGGACTAACAGCAGAAGCAGAGGCAGCACCAACAGCAGAAGCAGAGGCAGCACCAACAGCAGAAGCAGAGGCAGCACCAACAGCAGAATCAGAGGCAGCACCAACAGCAGAGGCAGAGGCTGGACTAACAGCAGAAGTAGAGGCAGCACCAACAGCAGAATCAGAGGCAGCACCAACAGCAGAGGCAGAGGCTGGACTAACAGCAGAAGCAGAGGCAGCACCAACAGCAGAAGCAGAGGCAGCACCAACAGCAGAAGTAGAGGCTGGACTAACAGCAGAAGCAGAGGCAGCACCAACAGCAGAAGCAGAGGCAGCACCAACAGCAGAAGCAGAGGCAGCACCAACAGCAGAAGTAGAGGCTGGACTAACAGCAGAAGCAGAGGCAGCACCAACAGCAGAAGCAGAGGCAGCACCAACAGCAGAATTAGAGGCTGGACTAACAGCAGAAGCGGAGGCTGGACTAACAGCAGAAGCGGAGGCAGCACCAACAGCAGAAGCAGAGGCAGCACCAACAGCAGAAGCAGAGGCTGGACTAACAGCAGAAGCAGAGGCAGCACCAACAACAGAAGCAGAGGCAGCACCAACAGCAGAAGCAGAGGCTGGACTAACAGCAGAAGCAGAGGCAGCACCAACAGCAGAAGTAGAGGCTGGACTAACAGCAGAAGCAGAGGCAGCACCAACAGCAGAGGCAGAGGCAGCACCAACAGCAGAAGTAGAGGCTGGACTAACAGCAGAAGCAGAGGCAGCACCAACAGCAGAAGCAGAGGCTGGACTAAAAGCAGAAGCAGAGGCTGGACTAACAGCAGAAGCAGAGGCAGCACCAACAGCAGAAGCAGAGGCAGCACCAACAGCAGAAGCAGAGGCAGAGGCTGGACTAACAGCAGAAGCAGAGGCAGCACTAACAGCTGAAGCAGAGGCTGGACTAACAGCAGAAGCAGAGGCAGCACCAACAGCAGAAGCAGAGGCAGCACCAACAGCAGAAGCAGAGGCAGAGGCTGGACTAACAGCAGAAGCAGAGGCA